CTGTGGGGTGCGGGTGGCGGTGGGGCCGTGGGGAGCGGTGCTGTGCGTGGAGAGATGGGGGATGGAGAGCGTGAGCCGCGCGGTGTTGTGTCGGGACGTGGTGCAGGATAGGGTATTAAGCACAGATTTCTTGTTGTGTTTTGGTTTGGGGGGGGGGTTGTTTGTTTAGCTTTTTTTGTTGTTGTTGTTGATTTTTGTTATTTTATTTTACATTTATTTTATTTTAAAGCGAATATTTAATATGCGATCGGGAACGCTTTCGCTTCCGAAGCTGTCTTTATCTGCAGAGACGCTGTTCATTTATCTGTAGAAGCGAACGGAACGGGAGGATTCCAAATTTTTGTTTTCCTCTAAAAAAAAAAAGAAATCGAGAAAGCATCGAGTCCCGTAGTGGAGAAGTACCTGTATTGGAACAATGGGGACTCGGGATTATTTTAGATACCGGTCTGAAATGCCGGCCTGCACCGATGTGTGTGTGTGTGTGTGTTCCTCGGGTCGGGCCCGCCTGTGCTTTCGAAGCCCCCGGGTCATGCTCAGCGTTCGGAGAGCAGTCGCGGTGCTGCGTAGGGCAGCGGGATCTGCCCGCTCGGTGCGAGACCCTGGGCGCTCGGGAGGGCCCCGCACGTCGGGGCCGAGCACGAGTCTGACGGCGCGGCCGTGGGCCCGGCAGCGCTTGCGCTTGAATCTGTCAGTCGCCACCAGCTCTTATGTGGTTCCAAAAGGGTTCCGCGGGTAACGCGAGGATCGCTGGGCGGGTGACTGCCTGCCGCCGGCTGCAGGGCACGGCGTGACCTCGGGGCGGATGCCGGAGAAGGGCCCGGAGCCGTGCGCGGAGCCCAACGCGAAGAGCCCCCGGGGCCGCCCGGCTCTCACGGCCGCTCTCTCCCGCAGCCGTTCTGAAGGCGGAGCCGGCGGCCGTCTTCAAGTTCCCGCTGGCTCCCCTGGGCTGCTCGGGGTTGGGCTCGGCGCTGCTGGCCGCCGGCTCGGGGCTGCAGGGCGGCTCCGCCTCGCCCCACCTCCCGCTGGAGCTGCACCTCCGCGGCAAGCTGGAGCCGGGCGGCCCCGAGCCGGGCAGCAAGGCCAAGAAGGGCCGCCGCAGCCGCACCGTCTTCACAGAGTTGCAGCTCATGGGGCTGGAGAAGCGCTTCGAGAAGCAGAAGTACCTCTCGACGCCCGACAGGTACCGGCGGGGCTGCGCGGGGGCATCGTCCGGAGAGCAGGAGGAGAGCCGCGGGCCGGGCCGTGTCTCATCGCCTCTCTCCCGCCCGCAGAATAGACCTGGCCGAATCGCTGGGGCTCAGTCAGCTCCAGGTGAAAACCTGGTACCAGAACAGGCGCATGAAATGGAAGAAAATAGTAAGTGCCGGCGCCGGGCCCTCCCGGGGGGGGGGAAAAAAAATGTATGTTCTGATATACGTGTATGTCCCCGCTCCATGCGGTCACAGCACACGGGCTGCCCGAGCCCTCCCTGTTCTGCGCAGTACGGCTCGGGGAGCAGGGACCTTCCCCCGCCGGGGCCGCGGACCGGAGCGCTGCTTTACGCGGCTATCCCTGTGCCCTCCCCGCCCCGCAGGTGCTGCAGGGGGGCGGCCTGGAGTCCCCCACCAAGCCCAAGGGCCGCCCCAAGAAGAACTCCATCCCCAGCAGCGAGCAGCTCTCGGAGCAGGAGCGCGCCCGGGACGTCGAGAAACCCCCCGAGAGCCTGGGCTCGCCGGCTGAGGTCAGCCAGGAGGAGTGAGGGCACGGCCCGGCCCCACCGCCGCCGCCCGGGAGCGCGGGGACTCCCAGCGTCGCGCCGGGCCCCGGAGCGCGTTGCCCCGGGCGGGAGGAACCCCGTGCGCAGCGGCCCGGGCGGTAGAGGACGGGGGCAGAGGGCGGTGGGGCCGCGGTCGGAGCACTGAGCGCACAGCTCGGGTCCCGGCCCTGAGACCCGCGGTGCGCGGTGGCCGGGGGGCACCGGGTCCGCCCTCGGCGTTGCTCGCTGCGTGAAACCCTGTGGTGCCCCCAGTTACTCGAAAACTGCATTTTATGATCGGTTTTATTAATGCGAAGATATTTACTTTATTTCAATAAAGTATTTTATGGACTATTGCTCTGAGTAATGTTTTTTATTTTCTTTTTAATCGTTTCTTTATATTGTTGGTTTTGTTTGTTGTTTTATTTTTTCTTCTTCGTTCTCGGCCACACGTCACACCCAGAGGCCACTCGGGCCGTGGGCGCGCTCAGAGGGAGAGACGATGGTCGTCTTTTCTCTAAGAAATGCGGCATTGCCGTCTAACAGGCGGCTGAGATGCGGCGGCACATCTAAATGCCGCTTTGGGAAAGCGCTGTTAGTGCCGCTCTGGGCAGCGCTCGGGCACAGGGAGCAGAAATCTTCCACCGACCCCGGGGCTCTGCGCTCGTTGAGGCGACGTAGCAAGGAGCCGTGGCACTGTTTTATTTTTAATTTTCTGATTCCTTGCTGTACTTTTTTTTTCCGTCGAGGTATCGAATCATAGAGCATCTACAGAGACATGCAATTATCATCGTCCTCGAAAAAAAAGAACAACAACAACAAATCCAGAAGCTCTGCGGGAAGTGGCGAGCGGCAGGGAGCGATGGAGAGCCGCCCCAAGGCCCGGCCTCGAGGGCTGCGGGCGCTCCTTACAGGGCCGGGCCGAGACCTGGCTGCGGAACGCTAATTGCCGGGCGCTAATTGCTCGCCTGCTGAGTAATTACAGGCGGTCATTAGCCCGCCCCCCCAGCCCTGCTTGCCCTAGGTGCCCCCCGGTTCCCGCTGCCGGAGCACGTAAAGCAAACCGCCGGGCCGAGCGATGGAGTGTCGGTAAGCGTAGGATACCGCCGTACTGAGTAAACAGGAAGCGAGCTCATATTCTTACATTGAAACGACTCCTGGATTTAAACAAACAATCAAGTGGAAAGGTTCGGCGTGACCTGGGGCCAGGGATCAGCGTCGGGAAGGGCGAGGACGGCGCTTTCGAGGAGCGGAACCCCGCGGTCTCTCCGGCTCTTCCCCGTCTCCTCTCAGCCCGCGGTTCTGCTGCAGCACAGCAGCTTCAGCGCAGCCGAAAGGAAGAACCGCGTGTAATTAGAAGGCGGATTCCCGGCTGCCTTGACTTAACGGACAGACAGGCTGTGTCCAACGTTAAGTAGCGCTTTGGAAACGTTATTCCTGTTGCGCTTGTGATATCGTGTTAATATTTTCTTTTCACATTTGAGTAAGTGGTGAACAAGTGATTATTTTTCACAGACCGTAAAAGCGTTAAATGAGAAAACTCATTCTATTTTTTTTTTCTTTTTTTTTTTTTTTCTTTTCTTTCTTTCTTTCTTTTTTTTTTTTTTTTTTCTCCAAACAGCGCTAGGGGAACGCAGCGGCTCCGCAGAGGCTCCAGGTCGCGTCTCCCCAGGCTGCTGCCCTCGGGTTGGGGATCGGGGCAGGCGGGGTGCGACTGAGCCCTTCTGGAGCCGCGAGCAGCCGCCGGGAGCCGCTTCCCGATGTGTGGCACCGCGGGGCGATGGCAGCATTCCGCCGGCCTGGGAGCTGTAGAGGTGGAGCAGTAAGGCTTCAGGCTTCTCCCGGCAGAAGGAAAGATCTCCCGGAGAGCTTCCAGCACGTACGGGCCGGGCCGGGAACCGGCTGGCGGCTGCGGGACGGGCTGCCCCGAGCGGTATTCACGTTGGCTGCCATCAGGCAGTCCGATGATGGTGTGCGAGAGGGGTGTGAATGGAGAGCCGTGTGCGGGGCACCGCGCTGCTGCGACCTCCGCGTTCGTGGCTCCGTCGGTGGAATTATTCTCCTAGAAACGTTTGTTTTAACAGTGCTGACTTTAACGACAAACTTTCCCTTCGGAAAGAGCTGCCCGCACCACGGCGACGTGAGAACGAAACAGAACGGCGGCACGGATGAGAATTAAAACCGAATTCCTCTTATCTACGTGAGAAATCAGTCGGAAGAAAACGAAATTATATCCGATTTAAAGAAAAAATATAGATATATATTTATTTTTTTTTATAAAATACTTCGTTCGCTGTAAGCCATTGATCTCTTAATGAGTTTCTATGTTGTTCTCTTGCAGCCGTCCCTCAGCCCCGGGCTCGTTCCGCGCTGCGCTCCCGGCGCTGTGAGGCGCATCGCCCCGCACTGCCGCCTGCCCGGAGGGAACGGCAGCGAGCAGGTTGGTGCCAACGCACACACTCCTAGTGCAGCCTGATGGCTCCGTTTCTTAATTACCTCTCACAGCCGAATGAAGCGTGACGCGGACGCACGGAGAGCAGCCGGCTGGCCAGGCTGTCCCCGCCCGGGGTGGTTCGCAGCGCTGTGCGGCCCCCGGGCAGCGGTGTGCACGGTGCTGTGCTTTACGTGTGCGCCCTGCCGGGCCCGCAGCCGCTGCTGCGGGCTCTCCCGCTGTCGCCGTAGCAGCAGAGGTGCCGCGGGAGATGTTTTCTCTGTAAGCAAAGCAAAGGGCGTGGATCGAGGGCTGGAAAAGCACCATCAAAGCGGTTCCTTCGTACGTCTGAGCGCCGATCCGGTCACAGTTAATCGGCGAACGTCACGACGGCTCTCTGAACAAAACGCCCTTCAGGTGAGTTTCCAGCTCCGACGCCCTACATTCGCTTTTTATGAAGCTTCTCGAGGAAACCCACGCCAGACTCTGCCCTCCGTCAGCTCCCGGCCGCAAACAGCTCCGGGGGGAGACAGACGGACGGCCTTTGGCACCGGGTAAGGGGAACGGCTGCGGGAGGGTCGGAATCCAGGGCAGCCCTGGGCCGGTTGGGGCTGTGCCCGCCGCTGGGCTGCACCTTTCCGTGCGATCCGCAGGGAATCGCCAGAACCGGAGCTCCGCCGTGCGATGACCGCCTCCAGTGACATCGATGGCGTTCGTCAGGGGGCGGATTTCGTGTCCCGAGACGTGTGTGAGTAAACGCTCAGCTCCGCGCTGATGGAAACACGCGCTCACAGCCCGGTACGGTTTCACCGGTTTACAAACGCCGTCCATTAAAACACGATTATGTACCAAACGGGTTCTTTCTATGCGAGATCCTCAAATCCGTTGTTTACATTGCACCTATATTAACAAACCACAAAATAAGCCCGTAGCGTTTTTGAGAGAGGTTTTAGGCTGGGAACGTGGAAACTTGCCTGGACGAAATGACACGGAAGCTGAATGAACACGAGGAGATTATCTGTGTCTGAAGGTTGGGCATTAGCCGCAATGAAAAGATTTATTTTTCCGACGCTTTTTTTTCCCCCCAGCTGCTTATTTCCAGGGCTGCTGGCAGTGTAAGCTCACTCTCTGAGCAGATACTGAAGCCCGTGTGTTCTGTGTAAGGGTGCTATTCAAGGAGGAGGCTTTCAGTGCCACAAAGTGCCTGCTGGGTTCAGGTGCACATGTTCTTACAGCATTACTCATACTCGAAAAATACTTGTTATTCATACTCAGAAGTTACTTGAGCATGACTTGCAGTGGAAAATTGTGCAAAAATAATGTTTCTTTGTGACATCTGATCCCAGTCTGATGTTTCATAGCCGATAGCCTGGGAACTTGCCTGTGCAAAATCCCTTTCCATCAGAGATGTTCCACGAGGATGAAGAAAATAGAGCTGTGAAGAGAAGAGGCGGATGTGCAGTGGTTGTTCACACACCGAAAGCTTTGTGTCACAGCAGCTCTGATGCTTTTCTGAAGAGACAATTCTGCAATTGTTAGAACTGCCAACCCAAACTCTGCCCTGGCTGTTCTTCTACGGCTTACAGCAACCTCCAAACTCGCACTGTGTGTAGTGTGGCTGTTGTGTCAGGTAAGTGTGTGTAAGTCATCCTACAGCAGCAGGTTTCATCTGATTTGGCGGTCAAGGAAGTGACTCCCAAAACACAGCAAGGTCTGTAAGCAAGAAGCTGGCTGTTCCATTTGGGCTAAGGGGCTTTTTCCTTCCCTACTGCCCAGCTGACTGCCAGCTCCCAGCTGATCCCCCAGTTGGCGTTTTCTGAGCTACTTACTAAGAGCTGAACATGAACCACAAGTACTTTTGAATGCTGACCTCCCCTTTACATTGCTTTCTGAACTGAATAGCATCTTAAGTAAATTAAAATAGTTTTCAATAAATACTTGAACAAAGATCATCCTCTTCTCCTTTTTGTCAACGTGAGAGCCGGGCTGTTGGATGCTCCCATTTGTTGGGCAGTGGTTCTCCTCAGGGCTGCTGGGCCCCAGTAGAGCTCTGGGCTGTGCACCAGTCCCCAGATTGATTCAGAAGCTCCTGCTGTTGTTCAGCCTCCTCTGGCTTTGGCTGTTCGAGGTGTGTTACTGTCACAGCTGAGATGGAAATGCCACTGTGAGGATTTTCGTTGTCCTTTTAACTGCTTTTAACTCTGTGATGTGGTGTGAAAATTCCCCATTAATAGGTGTGAAAATGTATTCAGACTTGATACCATCAATTCCAGAAGTTAAAAGTACTCATTGTTTCTTGATCAGCACACATTTCTCATTGGATAAGCATACAGACCACACATTTCATATCTGAATGTCCTCTGCTAAGGTCGTGGGTTATTTGAAATTAAAGTTCATTATTCACTAGTATTTGCACTAGTAAAGTACAAGTGCTCAAATATTTGCAGAAAGCAAAAGTGAAGCAGCTGTAAATATGGCTGAATTTACTTCTGAATTTTAATGAATATTTGCAGAATTTTGGTTTAGCTGTAATGTGTGTGTGTATGGTACAGAAAGCTTGTAAATTCCAGTGCTTTACACTTCCCAGTGTGTAAACTGCAGCTAAGCCCGCTGGATTTAACTTTTATATCCTCAGTTTAAATGGAAAAATACAGGCAAGTTTGAAAAAAACAAAAACAAAACCCTTAGAAAATACACAGAACATCAGAAATTTTACATAACCACATCAATTAGCGGTCTGTAACCTTTGCTGGCTGGTGGGTACAAATGAAATAGTGTCTGTTAACTCTTTTATCCCCAGCAGGAGCAATGTGAAGACTGAACCCCAGGATCCGCAGTTCAGGATGAATTCTGTAAGTCAAGATTTCTCCTTTTGGTTCCAGAGAACTGATTCTCTGAATGGAAATTG